CCCCCTCGGGACTACAGACGCTCGGTTCGAAAAGTATTTGTTGCTTCGCTTCACATTCTGGAGGCAACGCAATAACCATCGCAGCTGCGACTTCTCAGTCTAGAAAAACAGTGGCTATAAAATGAGGCAGTATCAGATATTTACTTCCAGGACCATACCGAGAGGAGTGAGCTCTGCGATTTTTCTCAAGGGACCCCATTAAGCCCCTTGTACCGGGTAGCGATATTTTTCAGTCATTTCCCGTGACCCAAGACTGTAAGTAAACATCGGGATGAAGATCGACTCAAACTCAGAGAGCTTAGTCTTCAAACTCACAAATCTCGAGCTAGCTCACGAAGAATACTGCTAACCATTCCAATTCTCCGGTCGATCTCTTGTTCCCATTTTGCGTTACCAGTAAACATAATCCTGAGACACGTGCACTACGGTTGAAAGCTTCTAAGCCCCCTTGATCTACAGAAAAAAATTAGGCTGTCTTTGTGCACTAGGCTGAAATTAGAGTTCATTTCTATTCAAGGTGCGAAACGACACAGCGTGTGGATTCTCTTTGGATTGTATGGCATTTTGCGAACTTTCAAACAAAAGCCATGGTGAAACACGTATGTAGCAGACAAGGTGTCTTATTCTGCTAACCAGATACCATTCTGCTATTGGGTTAAACAGCGTCCTTGACTGTACGATTTCTTGTGTCTTTCAGTTTTCAAGAAGCGAAAAATTTTAGTGGATAAAATAGCTATGGTGAATGCTGCAGTCATATTTAAACACAGCAAATCGTACACGTGTAGTATTATATTCAATCTAGTACATGGTAATGCTTATGGCGCACTGAGTTCTTCTCAAAGTCCAACAAGTGGTGCGGGGTTAGGGATTATCACATTACTTGAAAGTACGCGTCTAACCGTATGATTAGGCGTATTCGTTAGATACGCTACAGGGGCAAGTATCAAACTTGGCACTGATCACAAATATTGTACAGGGCCAGATGTTAAGCTTACCACAAGATATGTTTCGGCGTTAAATGTCAAGTTCCTGGCTGTACTAAGAAATACGGTACAATGTACTACAACAGTCGTAACCATGTAAAAAAATAATCGTACAGTCTCTTGTTTAAATGACATCCAGTACCATAAAATTTGGTATTGGGTTAAATTTCACATTTTAGCCTGCAAAATAAGATATCCTGACAACATGAGATCAGCCAACATTCTTAACCTCATTCTGTACAAGAAAATGTAATAAACGGTAAAATTTCAAGTTGGAGACTGTACCATAAAATATGGTTCAACTTTCTTCCTGTTCCCTTGAAATGGAGTAGAGGATCGATTTTCAAATGTGACCCTCCAGCTTAAGTATGACACAGGGTCACATTTCAAACCTGACCCTGTACTATCAAATATGGTACACGGTTACATTTCAAGCTTGAGCCTTTGCCACACGACATGGTAGAGGGTTAAATTTTACTCTGCTTTACGTTTCAATGAACTTCCAAACATTTTCTTTCTCACTGAAATAATATGCTTGCCGCCATTGCTCAGAAGCAAGGGAACGGCGAAAATATGCATGAGGAACAGCCCTGAACATTCAAGAATAAGTTTCAAAGTCGACCTAAAACTTTTACGCTTTCTGGAAGGAAATGGCTCGTATATATAGAATGGAGGAGTTGCGCTTGAAAAAATATTTTTCATAGCTGACTTCAGTAAAATAGGGTTGTGCAAGAGCTTATAAACATACGAATAACCGATGGAAAAACTCCAGCCAGGCATTAGGAAATGAAAAGGTTAAAATCGTATGTGGGCTGACTGATCCAATAGAAACCTTTCGCACATACGAAATGGATGTACTCAAGACGTGTATCTTTTCTGAAAGGAACATTCGTAGGGCTCGTTGATGATGGCGCAAGGATGCAGTCTTATCTAAAATTGTTTAAAATAGAGGTAGAACGAGTAGCCTAGCAAGTATTAAAAAACGATTTAAAATTTCACTCAACTTTTGGGTATCTTATCTTTGATATCAACCTTCTGGTACTCTTAAAACCACGAGTAACTACACCTGAGACACGCGGATGCTTATTGCAGACATACGGGACTGTCTCGAAGTCAAATGCGTAAACGTGTACGAAAAATAGCAGAGAGAAAAACTTGCATGAGAACTTAGCTAAATGAATAACCACGACCTGAAATTACACTCAGTCATTTGCTCATGTTTGAAAAGGACGAGCTCCTATATATGAGAACGGCGGATGTTCGATTTGGGACAGACGGAAAGGTCTCAGCGTCGACGAAGTAGGCATGAAATCAGGGTAAGAAAGCACTAAAACAGAATAAGCGTCGTGAAACATAAGGAATATGCATAAAAACGATTGAAATTTCACTCAAGCATTTGTTGGAGCTTGAAAAGGACATCAATACCTTATGCTCGAGAGACGCTGATGCATGTGACAGTCTCGAAATAAGGGCGTCAGCATGAAGTCCCTTCGAAAAGGTGCTGAAAAATAAGCAGCTGGAGGGAGGGAGGGGGTGTCACAGCGAATTTGAATAAAAACTTATTCAGATTTTATTCATTCATTAGCCGGAGTTGGAAAACGACTAATTTCTATGGTAAAAAACACGGCATAATCTAGTCGATTGCATGAGCAAGAAGTCTGTGCAAAAGGGGGTTGAAAGAAAAGTTGTTACACGCAGTGAATATGGATAGAAACAATTACATATTTAACTCAATCTCTTATCGGTTTGACAAAAACGAGATCCTGCATTTGAAAGACACGGATATTTTTCCATTTGGCATTTTGCACGCGCGTGAAGTATCAGTGCCTGAGGGACGATTACCATAATTGCTTGATAGTGCACTCAATGTCAAGTTGCATTGTTTTTCGTTTGGATGAGATTTTGAATACAAACGAAAGACTGCCGAAGAGTTATAGTTCGAACGGAAACGTTGTGTATTTTCGAGATGGAAACAAGTATATACCATAATATATACTATTGGGGATAAATGATTGAAAGGAACTGTCTATAGAACGGTTATTTGATTGGTTAAGGTCCTCACTCACTACACTAGCAGTGATATCCTCCACCACTGTCTCCCCTATAGACTGTCTCACCTTAGGGTATTCACTTGTGGGTGAACAGGTAGGAAACCGCAATTCTATATATCAAGGTGGTGATCACTACAACGGTAGACTACTATCACCATGTCTAGCTATAACACGCTATAGACAGTATAGTCATTAGATGGTTCTCAAACATCAAAGTACGGAGTAAGACAATGGAGACATATGTCAGATAGGTGGATAGACAGAGTCACACAGGGAAATTAGTACTGACTGGACTACCAACCAGATAACTTTAGTTAGTTAAGTACTTATTTGTAACATAGCTGCGTTGCGCCAGTCATACGTAGAGCCATTACTACAAGAAGGTCAATGACTAACGACATGTTGCTATGACGTAACGGTGATAATGTTAACGATGACCTGTGCCTCTCTCCTGCCAAGACCGAATTCTGTGGACTGAAGTGACAGCTGAACTACAAGGTTACTCAACTTTAATGACAAAGGAGTAGAGAAGTCCATATATGAAACCTAGGAGGTAATTAGGAAGAGGTAGAAATTTAACTAGGAGAAACCGCATTGACCGATTTGACAGCCCCTAGGATTAATAATTCCTGAGACAGGTTTAGCTCTCAGTTCTGTTTGAGACACTTAGTTTCCACATGCCGCACGCGTCTGAGAAATTACCTTATCCATATGGGATTGAGGAGACTGAGGATCTAAGGCAGGTACCATGCAGCGTTCAGATACGCTGGAATGT